GGGGGGGGGGGGGGGAGGGAAAGGGCATGGGGGGGTGAAGATCAAGGCCCCCACAGTAAGGGAGAGGGAAGGACAGGCACTGCCCAGCCAGGGTGGTGAATGGGGCCCTGGGGCCAGGAGCAGGACAGAGCCGTGAGCGGCTTAACCAGGGGGTGGGGAGGGAGGGCAGCTCCCCACTGCTACACTCACCCCTGGGGGAGGTATGGGGGCATATGCCCCCCACACACACCCTGGATTTGTGCGCAGGATGAGGGTGGGCTGCCAGCTGTGGGCTCAGGGCCAGGAGCTGCACCAGCCTCTTCCAGCAGTGGGGCTGGGCTGGGGCTGGGCTCAGGGCAGGCTCAGCTGTGCGGGGTGGATGGCAGCAGTACTGGGAGGAGTGGCTACAGAGAATTTTGGGATGGCCGTAGCCCCTCAAGTTCCCCCTCAGCACCGTCCCTCCTCCCCATCTCCGCTGCCCACCCTGCGCAGCTGAGCCTGCCTTAAGTTCAGCCCCAGCCCAGCCCCCTGCCAGGGAGAGGCTGGCACAGCTCCTGTCCCCAGGCCTGCAACGGGCAGCCTGCCCTCACCCGACACACAAATCCAGGGGGCTGGGCACATGCCCTCTCATGCCTCTCCCAGGGATGCGCATAGCAGCAGGGAGCTGCCTCCCATCCTTACCTCTCTGCACCCCCTGGATGAGCCGCTCTGCAGTACTCATCCTGCTCCTGGCCCTGGGGTCACATTCACCATCCTGGCTGGGCAGCATTTGCCCCTGCCCTTGTTCCACTCCCTCCCTCACCATGGGGGCCTCGATCCGCCCCCCACCACACCCTTTCCCTCCCTCTTGCCCCTTCGCCATCAGTTGGGCACTGCTCTCCATGCTGCCTGGCTGTGTTTCTGGCAGCGCACATGCACATGGCATATATCGGTGACATTATTGGCCAAAAAAACCTGCTTGCTGATAATGTTAATTTTCCTGTTATCGATGCTAATCCAATATGTGACCGATATATTGGTGCACCTCTAATATATAGTTTTTTATTAAAGTTGATATTGCTAATCAAATGGTATTAAGTGTCAACAGTACTGAAGACCAATACAAAAAAGAGATAAATATCTAATTAGTTAACTAATTGCGAATCTTGTTAGTTACATTAATAATATTTGTTGAAAGAATGTAGTAGGTTGCATGCTTTTTATTATATTTTGTAGTTGAAGAAGAAAATACATTTTCATGATCCAGTTTTACTCTAATAAAAACACTAGGATAAAATGGTGTATGTAGATATCAGGAAGAGCTTTTGCATAATGCCACTTCTATTACCATCTTTATTTTCAATTACACCTCGCAATTTATAAATGCTTCTCATTTTCACAATGTATAAAATGGATTCTCCTGTATTTTATAGATACTTTTTCAGGGCTATTACAAATAAATATACAATTCTTATATTTTAAGGGAGGAGGAGGGAGAAGAATTAAAGAAAATGTTATACAGTAGGCTGGTTTCTATTTAGGGTCTCTTCTGGTTGATGAGCACTTCTTGTCTTTTGAAGAGTCTTATCTCTGCAGTACTCAAATCCAGATTAGACTAAGTCTGATTTTAAGTAATCCCCTTTATCCATTTCCCTCTTGCTTAAATATATAGGTTTATGTTTCACCCTGCTGATACTGATATTCTGGTTCACAGTTATGACACTAAGAAGACAAGTCTTATTTACTGAGATTTCCGGTATCTTTTGGTGGCCAGTATTCTAACTAAATCCACTACAGTGTCTTACTAGAGAGATCTGTGACTACTTCTTATCTTAGATACAAATATAACAAAAAGTATATCGCACATTCATACATTATTGAATGTATTTATAAATTGATAAATTCAGGTGTACATTGAGGTGTTTCTGACATTATAATTTTGAAAAGGAGCTGATTTGCTGCAGTATCTTTGTCCATGTAAAAATCTGCATAAATCTGCAAGTCAATTACAGGTTGTTCTTTGTAAAACAGCATACCCAAAAATTTTTTTTCAATTTTTCCACACAAGCTTCAGAATTCTGTCATTTCTTTGCAGGCACTGTAAGTGGTGATTTAATAAAGTCTAGTAGTTTTACTACTGAACATTGTACTATATGTACTGCTAGACACACATACTACATAATAGTACTTCAAGTTTTCAAGGCTGATGTTCTCAGATCCTTCTTGCCACCCTAATAAGACTTTCTGCATTCTAATTGGCAGCAGATACTCCCCCCTCCCCCCACCCATTCACCTGGGATTTAGTACAGGCTAATCTCCACTGTACATTTTAGTTCACAAGACTGATTGAGAGGTAGCCGGCATTTGCTAACATAATTGAAATCTAAGATTTGTAACCGCAGAGGTTTTGTGCCAGTGTAATTATTTTGATTAGGGATCTGATTTTTTTTCTACTCAAATGGGCAAATCAATACAACCTCTGGAGGAGTGACAGTTGTTTCAGTGCAAAGTGTCTTAGACTGGCATAGTTTATTTTCACTTCCTTACACAAATATGTATGCCACTATGAGGCACCTTTAGATCAATATAGCTGCATCTCCGTCACTAGAATTGTACTATATAGATGTAGTTAAAGCATTTTTTTTGGTATTTAGACAAAGTCATATTATGTATGATTGGTACACAGTTCCGGAAAAACTGCATAAAATATTGCAGAATGATTCATAAACTGCTCTGGTTTTTGGAACTTTCTGTTGTCAAATTGTTTGAAGGAACTCAATTCTAAGCAATTATTTCTAAGTAAAACAGGACCTAGCTGATTTTTTTTTAGATGCTTGCCTTAACACCCTGATCATTATTTTTAAGTTTTTAAGTATTTTTAAGTTTTTTAAAGTATTTTTAAGTATTTTAAGTTTTTAAGTATTTTTCCTTTATAAAGAAAGATTTTTGGTTCACCTGTAGAGAGAGAAGACCTTCACTAGGGGAAGATTATGTTACTTGGATGTGAACATGCTCATTTGCACAGCCAGATTCACAGGCATAATTGTTACTTCAGTATGTTACAATCAAATTAGGGATCAAGTTACCTATTCACAATTAATATCTATATTTTTCACATTTAGAATATGCTTGAATTGCTAGAAGAAATGCCAAATGGAGTTCCACCTGAGAAAGTAAAAAGTTATATCTACCAGTTAATCAAAGCAATTCATTGGTGTCATAAGAATGATATTGTTCACAGAGGTAAGTGTATAGTTTTTCACATAGAAATGAGCCCATACCAGTAATTTTCATACAAAAGGGAATGGTGCTACAGCTTATAAATTGTGTGTTAACGCAGTGTGTTTTATTTTCTTTCTTTCTTTATTTTACTTGAGAACAAATCATACTTAAATGAGCCTAGAAATTTTTTTCCAATGAGATCTGCAGATACTTGAATGAGATCAAATACTACGATAATAGGAATCTCATAAGTGCCCATGCAGATAAATTACCCTATATTCAAAATTACCAAAGTTTCTTTCAAAAAGTATCTAAAGGATATAAAAATAAGACAATTTTAAAGCCAGGTTTGCCCAGTAAATAGTGTAGTTCTGAGGGTCATTAAAGTAAAGATTGTGTATTTTGCCATGATGAAACAAAATTACAAGGGTGACATTACCAATAGAAAGAGATTAAAAGGTACCTTTAATACAGTTTTTTTTCTCTTGATCCACTGTAATGTGTGGCTCTTTCTAGTTTTATGTTTTTATTTTATAAAACATTTGACTGCATGATTTTGTAAGCATTTTAATGGATGGTTTCAGTAACAAAATTCACCTAGAATGCTAATTGAGTTATAATTAAAATGAATCAAAATATAGACAGGAAAAGTATTTTTTTTCTTAATTTCATTGTAAAATGTAGCTAGCGAATTAAGGTTGTACATACAGGGATTACATTTTTTTTATGACTGAAGTATATGTCTAAGAAATTAGAGGAAAACTTATTTCTAGAACAATACTAGGAGCCTCAGAAGGTAATTCTGAGATGGCAAATACTGTATATAAACAAGGTAAATATTTGTAATAAATTGGATAGTAGAATGATATTTCAGTGTGCACGTGTTGATTTTTGTGCCCATTCAGAACTGCAAAGACAGGTTTATTCTTCCCATCTTACCTTGGAGAATTCTTAAAAAGGAAACACAATACAGAACCTGTGACTTCTGCATGATTAGAAAAGAACAGCTTATTTGAAGCCTAGTACTAGTTTCAAGTGCTTTCTGCTGTGATCTATTTTGTTAGTGCTGTATGAATAGCTGTAGTTCTATTACAATTAAATAATGGTGTTTAACAAGTTGACTGTTAAAACTGGACGGTAGCAACTGTATTACAGATTTTCCCCCCCTTTTTTTGTCTCTGATATTCCAGATATCAAACCAGAAAATCTCTTAATAAGCCACAATGATATTTTGAAGCTGTGTGATTTTGGTAAGTTGAAGAGATTTTAAGGCATTAATATACCTGCCTATCTATTTAATTTTAAAACAGCAATCCATTTAACTCAAATTCCTCGTGGTTCAGTTTAAACTCTGTGTTGTACATACCGTGAGTACATTCTAATGGTCAGTATTTAGTATGTTCCTATTTGTGGGTGGTACGTTAATTTGAAGAGGTTGTAAGCTTTTAATTAGGACCTATTGTGAACTATGTGTTTAAATGCAGTTATTGTAGAAATTTTTTTCTATTCATTTTCTTTTCAATTATTAGGACCTTGTCATTAATACAGGTTAGGGGACAAGTTAGTTTTGAAGCTAGCTTGACTGTGGACCTAGGTGGGCAAAATAAGCACATTTTCATTAGTCTCATTTGTATATGAAATATGTAGCAGTGGTGCCAACACATCCAGTGGTTCTGGGCTGATCCTCAAGCCCTGTCTGCCATGCAGGGCTGTGTTGTCTGGCCCACGGGGCTCCCCACAGGTCTGGAAATTTGGCAGGGGAGCAGTGGCAGAATTAACATCCCACAGGCTGTAGGTCAGGGGCAGGCAATTATTTTGGCTGGAAGGCCACTTACCGAGTTTTGGCAAGCCATTGAGGGCTGTGGGGGTAGCACCCCGCCTCTTGACAGGTACCCCACCCTCTGGTTGCCATCTTGTGACTGGAAGTCCCACCCCTAATCCCTAGCCTTTGCTACCAGAAGTCCCTCCCCTTGCCCCTAAAAAGTACTTATTTTAGCAAGGGGTTTTGCCATCCCAGAACCAGAAAAATGCAAAATTATACTTTAAAATTCGAACATCTGTAATATTCATTAATTTGATTTCAAAAAATATTTTGTCCTGATTTACATGTGTTTGCATAGTGTACATAGAGGTGATTGTACAATAGCTTAAAATGAAGTCTTACTCCTTTATATTGGGGGGCATGGGGAGGTGACTATAGGTTTGTGGGGGGGCTGTGGGTATGTTGAGTGTGAGGGAGGGTGTGTGGGGGAATTGGGGTGGATAACTGTGGGGGTGTGGGATGAGGGAGCATGTGGGGGTATGTGTGGAGTGTGGGTGGGTATGGGGTTTGTGGGGGCTGTGTGGGGGAAAGGGTGGCTAGGGTGTGTGAGGTGATGTGGGGTCTGCATGTATGGCAGTACATGGTGGGGTGTGTATGTGGGGCTCATGTGTGTGCACACATGCACACACACACGCTCTGTCCCTCCCTCATTGCACAGATACAAGTATGCACAGACACATACCCATACACCCGCTTCTGGTCTCGGTACCAGCGCGGGTCCCGTCCTCTTACAGTCCAGCGGGGACCAAGGCTGGGCAGCAGAAGCTCTGTCGAGCTGGGCTGGCTCCCTCCTTTCCCTGCTGGCACAGCCTGGCCCAGCTCCATAGATCCCTGCTGGCCAGGGCCCTGTAATTCTGCTGCCCTGCTCTGGTCCCCACTGGCCCTGACACCCTGGTGCAGGCCTCTTATTCCCACCCAGCTGTTGCTGCACACCCACTCACTGCCAGTCGCCCACCTACCACCACTTTCCCTGCTTTCCTGCCCACCACAGCACTCCAGCACCACATTGCTCCTAGCTGCATAGCCATGACTTCAGGACTCAGCAGGAGCCAGCCCTGCCAGCTCCAAGGCCTGGGGTAATCATCCACGGTCCTCCCCTGCCTCCCTCCCCCCCAACTCTTATCTGAATTTCTCTCTCCAGCACAGGGAAGCAGGAACAGCCCCAGGGTCCCAGGCCAGAAGCCTTGCTAGGCAGAGATTTCTGGCTGGGGGGGCCCGGGGTGGGGGCGGGGTAGAGCCGGGCAGGCATTGCTGCTGAGCTGCTGGGTCCTGCCACTGGCTTCCCGTGATCCTACTGCCCCTGACTCCTGTTGTCTTTGACAGGCAGCCAAGAGCAGATGCATATTAATTTTCTAAATTTTTTATGGGCCCTATGGGCCAGATAGAATGGCCTAGTAGGCTGGATCTGGCCTACGGGCTGTATTTTGCCTGCCCCTGCTGTAGGTTGAGCACTTAAGTTGCATAGTACCATATTTACTCGAATGTAGCATAAGGTTTTTATTCTATCAGCACAAGGGGAAGGAGCCCCTCATCTTATATCTGTGTACCAGCATCCACCCCCCATTAAACATATTGTCTATTATTAAACTGCTTCTAGAAGCAGCAAGTACTCAGTCATTGAAACCGACTATAAAGTCATTGAATGCAACACAACCCATGCTGAGAGCATTCCCATAAAACACCTGGCCCATATTGGGCAAATACACTGATGGGAATCTTTGTTTTTGTTGTTTGGGGTTGGCTGTATTTACCTTGGAGTCCCCTCCATCCTATGCACTCTGATGTCTTTGGGCAACCACCCGTTCATTCTCCTACCACACCTTGATGTATGTAGCTTTTAGATGAGGAGGCTGTTGCAAGGCTTCCCAAACCTGGTCTGCTTTTCAGAACCACAAATGTCTGTGGTCATTACCTTAATGGCCTTGTGCATCTCCATCCGTCCCTATGCCATGCCTCGGAAGTGTTATTACTCACTTACATTGATTCAACTTCCAGAGTGGCCTGCTCCTCCTGGGCATTTCTTCTTTCTCAGCTACTCTCAAGCACAGGCTTTCTACCTGGAATCGCACACTCTGCCTTTCTCAGGCTTCAGGCCCCTGGCTCCTACCTCCACTCCTCATGGGTTCTCAGACTCCTGGCCCCACACTTTGCCCCACTCTGGGTTCCCAGACTCTCTGGTCCCACTTGCAGCCCCTCTGGGCTCCTGGACCCTCTGGTCCCACACTCAGCCCCTTTCTGGGCTCCTGGACCTCTGAGTCCATAGGGACCTCTTCCACCCCTTAGTCCCTTCCCCAGAACCTCCAGACTGTCACAGACTATACTCTCCAAACTGGCATGCAGGAGCTGCAGCCATCCTGCTTAGGCAGTGTTCACAAACCAGCCTTCAGGACTCTACTGCCTGCCCAGCTCAGGATCCAGGCTTATATCTTTTCTAAGCCCAGCTCCCTTCTAGGTCGTAGAGGAGAGCAACAGAGTATGGACTCTGGACTTCAGAAAAGCAGACTTTGACTCCCTCGGGGAACTGATCGATAGGGTCCCCTGGGATGCCCATCTGAGGGGGAAATAAGTTGTGAGAGCTGGTTGTATTTTAAAGAAAGCTTACTGAGGACACAGGAACAAACCGTCCTGATGTGCAGGAAGAATAGCAAATGTGGCAAGCAACCAGCTTTGCTTAGCACAGAACTGTTTGGTGAGCTTAAACACAAAAAGGAAGCTTACAAGAAGTGGAAGCTTGGGCAGACAACTTGGAAGAGTATAAGAGTATTGCTCGGGTATGCAGAAACTAACTCAGGAAGGCTGAATCCCAACTGGAGTTGCAGCTAGCAAGGGCTGTAAGAAGGGTTTCTACAAGTACGTTAGCATCTCTGCAGAAAAGGACTTAGGGGTTACAGTGGACAGTAAGCTGCATATGAGTCAACAGTGTGCCCTTCATTGCCAAGAAAATGAACAGCATACTGGGCTGCATTAGTAGGAGCGTTGCCAGCAGATCGGCTGAAGTAATTTTTCTGCTCTATTCTGCACTGGTGAGGCCATGTCTGGAGTATTGTGTCTAGTTTCAGGCCCCCTGCTATAGAAATAATGTAGACAAGTTGGAGAGAGTCCAGTGGAGAGCAGTTAAAATGGTTTGGGGGCTGGGGCACATGAGTTCCTAGAAGACACTGAGGGAACTGGGTTTATTTAGTCGGGAGAAGATAAAACTGAGGGAGGAATGGGTAGCAGCCTTTCACTTCTTCGAGGGTGGTTCCAGAGAGGATGGAGCTAGACTGTTCTCAGAGGTGACAGATGACATAACAAGCAGCAATGGTCTCACGTTGCAGCAAGGGAGGTTTAGGTTAGATATTGGGGAAAAAGCTTTCTGACTAGGAGAGTGGTAAAGCACTGGAATAGGTTACCTAGGGAGGTGATGAAACCTCCATCCTTGGACATTTGTAAGGCCCAGCTTGTCAGAGCCCTGCCTGGAATGATCTAGTTGGGGATGGCACAGCTTTGAGCAGGGGGGTGGACAAGACGACCTTCTGAGGTCCCTTCCAACCCTGATTTTCTATGATTGATGTAGCCCACGATTGTTTCCAGCCACATCTGCCGCCTGCCTGCTCTTAAAGTAGTAGGAGTACTAAGCCTCCTGATACAGCCCTTAAAAAAAAAACAGGTAGGTATTCCCTCCACAGGGAACTGGCACCAGGCCTGGAGGTACTGCAATACCAGACTGGCACCAGGGGGCCAGAACCAGCCCTGACAGCCCCCTCTTTGTGCCAAAAATGCTTGAAAAATGAATGCAGTCCATCTGACTAAAACATAGTGCCCATTGTACTCAGTCCCCCCTCAGTGCTGACTCTTTTCCAAATCATGGTAAACCAGTACATCAAATATATTTCAACTTCCTCTTCACTCCCACAACTGAGCAGTTTATTTCTTTCACATTTCCAATGATTCTTGTTTCTTCAGAAGCCTTAAATGTCTGGCACATATCACCAAACTTCTGTGTAACTGAGAGGTTCTGATGCCCCCTCTCAGCCTGGTACATGTGATTAGTGTGGCCCAGCCCCCTGTGGGGTGGATACATACCAGGCAACACTGCTCCTCATCTGAATAATTTTGTGAAGGGTCCCAGGACACTTGGTTTCAGTCTTGAATGGGGGGCTAATTAGCACATGGATCCTTTGGGGGGTGGTATCTGGAGTAAGGATACAGGCAACCCTCACCATTTGCAGGGGATACGTTCTCGTATCCCCTGCAAATGGTGAAATACGTGAATCAGGCACTGCATTAATGAATGCCATCTGTGTTTATGAACTCAGTGCCTCCCCACGGCTGGCATGGGGGGCACAGCTGTGCTGGTGACAGTGGGAGGCTGGGCAGCGGCAGCCCAGCAGCGGCAAGCACAAAGCTCCCGAGGAGCTCCTTTAAGTGTATTTAAGAAGTGGGTTC